ATTCTGGGAGTTGAAGTCCACACATCTTCAAGTCACCAAGGTTGAGGAACCCTGCTCTAATGGCTTCAGCTTGTTACCTCCTTGCCCTTTGTGGCTCTTGAAGATGAAAATGATTGGTTGAAAAAGTGTGATCCTCACTTCAAAAAGCTTGCCACTTGGTTCTAGTTCTCAGAGCTCTCTTAGGCTGCCAGCAATCAAACCCTTCAAGAACCTGGGAAAGAATGTTCTCATGTTATTGGCATTGTTAAAGCAGAGCTCCTCTTGCTGTTGTTGCCCCTTCCCAGGGACAGTACCCTAAAGAAAGGATAAAATATTTGTCAGGAATTTTAAGGGTGGGGAAAAACATCAAAAGGAAGACAAAGACCAGACCAGTCCACCTGACTTGCCAATTGTAAGCAGTTTGGGCAACTGCTGGAAAGCTAAAGTCACATGGCTATGAAAGGCAAATTAAAAGTGGGATTCCCAGAAGCAGAGATAGACTTGGGCAACTGACCCTGGGACAAAACCACAGAGGGACAGCCAGGTGAGATACTGTACAGTAAAAAGGAATCCCCTGCTCCAGCTTAAGTGTAGGGAATAACATTACTGTACTCTCCAGTCCTGTATTTCATGGTTTTCTTTCATTAGTAATTTGGTAACAGTTCTTGGAGGTCTCTGAAGACCATCCCTAAGGCATTCAGAGATCATAAATGAACCTGATTCCTCCTGTTATGTACCTCTACCACAAATGATCATTTCTGGCTATTGTCCTCTCAGTCTTTTAACCTTTCTTAATTTCTAGGTGGTCAAAGACATACTGCTAATTGGCCATCGACAGGCATTTGCATGGGTGGATGAGTGGTATGGTAAGTCATGTTTTTGTAATAGAACTATTTCAGGCAGTGTATACCATGTGACCCGCTAATTTTATTCTAGTTGTCTTCATTAAAATAGTCAACACGAAGGAGAGCATGTTCTGTTCTTCAGACAAAATTGCTAAGAGAATGTTTGAATGTTTATAGTTGCTTGCAGGAAATGTTTGCAGCTCTGGGTACAATCCTGCAGCAGTGCTGACGTCATAATGTTATTAAATGTGTACTTTAGGATCTGAAACGCTAACTAGCAGGTTTAATTTTAATTAAGTTCTAAATCTGTCTGGTTCAAATATAACATAGAGCCTGGTTTAAAGACTAGTAGCAAACCACAATTTGTGATAATAAAACCAGAGTTTGAATTTCAGAGCCAGTGTGATGGAATGGCTAAGATGTCGTCCTAGGGTTACTTTCAAGTCTATCCTCAATCATGGAAACTCACTAGATGATTTTCAGCCAATCAGTCTCTCAACTAATCTATCTAAGACTAGTTTTGTTCATAAAATGAAGGGAGATACCAATATAAGTTGCCTTGAGTGCTTGGAGAGAATGTGAAATAGAAATAATTAATTATGTTAGGATTATCCTTGCCAAGCAACAATTCTGCAGAAGTTTCCACAGACAAAATTGAGACAGGCAATTTTCCACAGACAAAATTGAGACAGGCAAAACATTCAGCTTGATGGCTTTCTTCCAAACTCCAAACCATAATTCTGTATTGTGTCTGCCCTGGTTCATGTTAACTTCTGTATTGAGTAAAGGCATTCATAGATCAGAAAAATGTATCAAGTTGAGAATTATGAAATGAGTGAACAAACCTCATTCAACAGATCCAATTTAAATCTATTGATTTGGTTGCAGCAAATGGTAAATATAAATATACATGGATAAAAATACAATAAACAAATTAAATAAATAAGCTTTAAACTAATATATATAGAGATAACAACCATAAAAATTAGTTTATATCTATTAAATTCTAAACACCAATATCATTAATATTATTTTATATTAGATAAGCTTATTGAGTTTTTCTTTAATGAAAAAAAACGTTATTCATTGTAATAAATATTTGGAATCAATTGATCAACTCCCTATTTGTCTAAAAGTAACTTAGAAAACATGGAACAGGGAAAGGAGAGTCAAATGAGTTTGGCTATTAGGAATATTGACATTTTGGTCCATTAAATGCACTGTGATCAATTCTAGGACTTATTCAAATTTATAACTCAGCCTCCCAACCAGCCTCCAGTATCCAGATCTGAACCAGTTTTCGAAGATTAAAATCTTCATTTAGATAAAAGGATAAGAAATCATTAAAAGGAAATATCACTGGTGTTTGGTTTCTACCATGAGAGTAGATTTCCACTGGCCACGTCCATGTTTTGCCATTTGACATGAATGTCTTGATGCATTTCCCCAAACTGTATTTTGCTTCAGCTTTTATGAAAAGTAGCAGGTTTCCCATTTCCCATAACTGGCCTTCCCGTGATTATCAAACTACTTAAGCAGGATTGGAGGATCAAATGGTGCTAGTAATTTTCTGACAGGCAGATGAAAGCTTTTCCCCCCAAATAATTTTGTGTACAGTCTTTGAGAACCATGAGCACTGCAGTGGGTATGTACCTTCTGGCGCACCTACATTTTCCTGATAACTCTGTATTTGGATTGTTATTGCTGATTAATGGTAAATTAATGTATATAGAATTAGGATTTTTTAAATCTTTGGTTTGGAAAAATTTGTTATAGAAGTAATACATGAGATGGCTCTTTCAAGTACATAATGATGACCAACCTTCAGCATTTCTTATATGCTGGAAGTATATGTTCCCTAGGGGTATCAAATGAATTCCCAGGACTAATGTAGAACTGCTCAGGATATAATTTATTTTTTAATATGTATTTTGTTGATGCAAGGGCTTCACCCTCTAATTGCAGACTAATCCTCAGTTCTAAACTTGTTTACAAAGAAGTGTTGCCATGATTTTAGTGGGACTTACTTCCCTGTAGATATGTGTAAGATTGTTGACTAATATGCAGTCAGCTTTGCCGTAAGACAGCATTATTGCATTAACTTGAAAGTTGCTAATGAAGAGCATGAACACTGCTTGGCAGAAGTGCTTCTGATCACGCTGGTTCCATTGCTTATAAGCTTCTTTGATCAGTGCTTTTTAATGCCCTTAATTTTAAGTGAGAAAAAAAAAGCAAAACATGATGATACTACATGAATCATATAAATATTAATGGAAAGTACTATGAAAACTTAAATACTAGAGTGTGCTAAGACAGGAATGTGCTAAAAGAATAAAATGTAATGCCGTGTACTGCAATATAAGAGCACTCTTTCCTCCAAAGAAGAGAATAAAAATTCCCAACCAGTAGAATTTGATGTGCGCATGTTCTTGTAGATATATTGAATATGCCCACATAATCATATTCCCACTGCTGAGGGAGAACTGGATTGTGTATAATTCTACTGGATAGTCTTATAATAAAAAATGAAGATATACTGATGGTAGCTTGACTTTCAAAGCATGTAAAATTTTCAATTAATCTATTATTCACTAGTACTCTGCAGTTAATCTATATGACTTAATACCTTCTACAATCTAAGCCAGGTAGTGTTTAAACAATTTAATATATTGATAGGGAGCATAATGTTATTTAAAGTAATGCTCTAGAATTTTGTTGGAAAGTTCCTGACAAGGTAAGTAGATTCTTCTTTAATCCTTCCTCTTTTTTTCCCCAGGAAATCTTCTAAATTTATTTTAGAAGATGTGTGCCTGTGGCAAAGCCTGCACCCTGCACTTTCTTGCCTAGCTCACTTCACAGAAATAACCACTTTCCAAATCCCTATACTGTGATTCTTTTTAACTGATCCTTCTTATACTTACATTCCTTGGCTGGTTTATCTAGCTGTTTGCCTACTGATACCAAAGTTGGCTTCCTGCTTTGTGGCTTTTGCTAGGAAGGGATTTTGCCCCAGATTCTTCCTTTTATTAAAAATTGAGATTGAATTAATAGAAGATCCCATCATCTTGAACTTTTTTCAGATATGACTTTGGAGGATGTTCGGGAATATGAGAAAAATATGCATGAAAAAACGAACATTAAAGTGTGCAATCAACATTCATCTCCTGTGGATGAAATAGAGAGCCATGCCAAAGGAAGTGTATGTAGTGCCTTTAAAAATATTGCCCACCATCTCCTAATGCAAACAAGGAATAAAAGTGCTGAGCTTTAGGAGATTGCTATGGGAGTAGGCCTGATCACTGCAACTGTATGCCTTTTGTATGCCATTTTCCCACTGAAGTTCTGGAAGGATCAACATAAGGTTGAAAAAGTTTTTGCAAGCATGTGTATCTTGGTGGGTAGGCTCAGAGTAGAAATCTAAGACATACATGTATTTCCATGTATAGTCTTCCCTTAAAAATTGGGTCGTTCTTGTGTTCTGAGCCAGCTGGGCACAGGCACGGATGTCTTGTTTCCCTGTGATGCCTTCAGAGCATTTCTTTTCTCTTTTGTCAAAACAGTGTCTCATACTTTTTTTTAAAAAGGGGATTTTTTTTTAATTTTTAAAGGGATCTCAAGGTGTATGTGTTTGAAATAGCACAAGAAACCAGTGCTCATTTGAATGAATGTTCTGCTAAGCTTTAAAAAATAGACATGACAAAGTAAATGCATCTGAGTTGTTGATCACATCTATCCTTGAGTTTTGAATCAAAAATAAACCCAGGGGATGATGAACTGCATGTCGGTACACATCTTTAGCTGCACTGAGCTATCTCCAAGGAAAATTAAATTGTCACATTAGAGTTAACTGAATGTATCATGTGGCAGTTTTATTTCTGTTCTCTATGCCTATCGATGGAGGGCTGTATAAAACCTGGAACAATCCTTTTTATCAATGGCTGTGATCTGTTAGATCAGACTCAGGCAATCAATACTCCAATGCTATAGTTTTCTTCAGAAATAGATAATATCCTGGTTCATAATGCTAAGCCAGGACTTCTTTAAATTGTGGTTTATTGAACACGCTGTAGTGGTCTGGTTTGTTGCATATAATGCTAAGGCATAATGGATGGGTTCATTCTTCATGCCATGCTAAGAAAAGATAAGCCATGTAATGATTTTGTTATGTGCAAAGCAGGCTATTATTTTATGCAAGTGGACAATATCATTTTCTCATTTCATTAAAATTATTGCATATTTTTGTACAAAAGAGATTCAGGATGGTTACATCTCTGGAATGGTATAAAGAACTACAGCTTATTTCACTCAAGTAGCAGTAATCAAATAGGAAAAGAAAAGGAGAACCATGGAGCTGCTGCTTTTATCTCCAAGGAATAAAGCTGAGAACAGTAAGCTCTCCCTTGAGTCAAGCTCAGTTCTGGATGACTTCATGGATAAGTTTCTTGGCAACAGTATGGAAGCATTTTGCCAATACCTTCTTCAGAGATTTTTTTAACCATCCATTAAGTTTTTCTTATACTCCCCAATCCATAAACTAACCAGGTCTAACTTTGTTTACTTTTTGGAAATCTAATAGCTAGATGCTACCACCCAGCTGGATACTTTAGGAAGAGAAAAAGAATAAATAGTTTGACAGCAATAGGAATTCATGCAAAAGACAAAATTTCACATTGAATAAGAGTATACCCCCCATGTTCTTTTTTTACATATTAAGATCATAGGTGTGAAAATTCTCACATGGTCAAAAGTAGATCAGGCTGTTATCAGAACTAGAAACAGATGGAAACTATATTTCCTGCCCAAAAGAGAATGCCTTCTAGCCGTTGACATAGAGTGGGTGGGAAAAACAGGGGTGAGAAATTTGAATGTTGATTTTGGTAGAAATATTCAATACACAAGAGTCACTGGAATTCTTTCATAATATCTTCACAGTTTTGTTACAATAAATCTACATATCTGAGCCTTCATGTCCTGGAAAATATATTCTTGTAGTGTTTTATCTTGTCAGCGAAGATTAAATAAATAAATAAATAGCAATAAATAAATAATAAAACCAGCCTGACAGTAGGTTTCAATTTCCATGTTTCTCTGTTGCCTTTGCTATCCAATTGTTTGACATCACTTCAGCCATTCATGCAAGTTATTGGGGAACCACATAATACTGATATCAGTATCAATTGCTCTTTTCCAATCTTTTGCAATATTCATCCCCCAGAAGTGACGAGTAGGAACTTAAAACTTGACTAATTGGATTTTGACTGAGTAGATGGTTTCAAGAGGCTCTTAACAACCATTTGTTTGGTATTTGTGTTTGACCTTCTTTTAGCTTCCTTCGTAGGAACCCATGCTCCCTGCAGGAAAGTTGAAACTCAAAGAAAGGTGGGGTTTCTTGTGATTAAGAAACTCTTTCCTGGTATTCAAAACATTAACCTGAATCTGGTATGAAGTGTTCAAACCTCAAATGACCTTTTGCTGAACCCATCTTGCCTCTTGAGTTGGTAGAAGGAAATAACCAAGGACATATTACTCTATGAAGTTTCCATTGGAGGAACGGACACTATAACGAAGTAGCTCTGCCCTCTGGTGGAATTATTCAGTAGGATTGTAATATTTTATATACCTGAATGAAAATCCAAGATCTTTCATTGTTAGGGTAAAGAATCTGATTGGGTTGCACTGAGCTTTCCTTATAGCCATAATTAAGCGGTGCAGTTCTTTCGGTTGGATTATATCTAACAACTGAATTCTAACAATTCAGGATCGTTGTCAGTGTGTCAGAAAAAAAGCCACTATATATTTTTCAACCAATTTTAACTTGCAGTGGGCTCTATTCATTTGCTGCTCTCGCTGAGCTCCTTGTCATGTTAGGAGCTAAATGTGTGTTGGCTTTTTTCAATCATACACTTAGGCTGACTTGAATTTTTTAATAATTCATTGAAGAACAACTTTTGTTGAGTTTTAAAATATTGGAGTTTTGTTTTGTAATAATCTCAACTTTTTTTCTAGTACATTTTTGATACGATACTTTTCTGTATGCATACATTACATGCCGTCATCATAAAACATGTCTTTTGAGAATAAATATATTTGTGTTTATGCGTATATATTTGTGTGTGTGCACACATGTGTGCCCAGAAAATTTCACACTGTATCTGGAAGATGACAAAATTAAAACTATTCTCCATATCTAAACTTCTCTTTGATATGAGGAATATTTTTTAAAATACATAAGAGAACTTCAAAGCATTATACCACGGGAGCCTCCATCTATATTCTACATCCTAGAAACAGATAGAACAATAAAACATAATGTTTTCTTACTGCAGTTTTTCTACTGACTTCAGAAGAGATGGAATTATTAAAAATGTCTCTTCTTGTCCTAAAAGATGGTAAGACTTTATTACGGTCATAGACCAAAGGAAAAAAAAAAAAAGGAAAAAAAATCCCACATTGGTAAAATATTGCATAACCATTAACAATTAAGTCTCATAATAGGGCAGAATTTACCCACTGTATAGCAAAACTTAGCAGTATTTAAGGATACAGAATTGTCTTTGTTGTCTAGTGGGGAATGCCAGTAAAAGTCCTAAAAGATGTGCTATTTAGAAAAAAATATCAGCACGTGCAAATAAAAATAGGAATGCTTCAGTCATGAAATTTAACTTATATAAAAGTACTTTAAACTCTCTCACATTTTTATCTTAATCTGTATTTAGAATGGCATTAACTGTCTGCTGGTGGAACGATAACTGCAAGTAGCCGCCTCTTTGAAATATTCCCATATATCCTAACTTTTTTTTTTTCAGAGGCTTGAAGGCAATAACTCCAGAGCAAATGAAGGAACAGGCAGGCAACAGAGAATTGAAACCAGACTTATTGCACACGAAAACCATTGCATAATGTCGGATGCAGCCCACTGGATATATGTCAGTGGCTATATTATAACTCATTGATAAGGAAGTCCTGTTAATGGTTTTCCAGAATGATCAGAGAGCTCTACAGGATGCATGATGACCCAGAACAAGTTAGAATGATCGCTAGATTATTAGCTGAAACAAAGGATCCAGTTAATCTATGATCGTTTGTTTCGGCTTTCGTTTATGATTTTTATCCTTGTTTGAGTGAAACCAGATAAAAACATAACTCTGGAAAGAAACAAATGTCTTTCTCTCATGTGATCCCATCACGAGAAATGGTTTTGTTTTGCAGTCCCAGAGTTTTCTTTGAGCAGTCAGCAACTCTACCAGTGAGATGAATGGTGTGCAAATGTGGCTCCTGAAATTTCAGCAGCACTTCTGAAATATTGGCCAAAGCATCTCTTGAGTAAATATGCACACTGACAGGAATGGCTCCTTAAAGACTACAACTTGAATAAAGCTGTGTAATGATACCAACTTGCACGGTGATTCTAACGTGTTCTTTCTTTTCTTCTCATTGAAGACATGACTATGGACGAAGTCCGAGAATTTGAACGAGCAACTCAGGAAGCCACCAACAAGAAAATTGGAATCTTCCCTCCCGCCATATCCATCTCTAATATCTCCCTTCCCTCTTCAATCCGCAGTGCTCCTTCTAGTGCTCCATCTACGCCTCTCTCCACAGACGCACCTGAATTCCTAGCAGTTCCCAAAGACCGTCCACGGAAAAAATCTGCCCCAGAAACTCTCACGCTGCCAGATCCAGATAAAAAGGCTCTCTAAACCCAGCATGGTTTTTTCCTTATGACAAGCTATGACTGACAGAATATCATTTGCAAAGTTCATGGTAGTTGTTTTATTTAAACAAATCTTATAGATCTGGAAGTATGCCTTTCCTATTCCCTCCATTCTCTTAGGCTTTCCCTGAAACTAGTTAGCTAAATGCGTGCAAGATCATAGTTCATGTGCTCTGATTCCCAAACTAAAGCTCTAAGCCATACGACAGATGTTGCTATCAACCCAGAATGAAGTAGCTTGTAAAGGCAAAAGCAATCTCTTCTAGTGATTGCTGCCAACAGAAGATGTAGAATTGCAGTGTTTATGACTGGAGAGGTTACAAGGATTTCATAAAGCTAGCGAGGACATCCTGAGAGAATGAGGTTCTCCTTAGCTACAGGTTCAGATCACATTTCTCATTTCAAGCCATTATCTCTCTATTTCTGAAATCCTTTTTTACTCTCAGGCCGAACGCACCTTAAAGTAAACTTTGGAACTGCTGACTCACTGATCAACACTTGAATACCAACAGATTCAGATTCCTTTTTACATAATACAACTCAGGATTTCGGGTGTAGTTAATGCACACTTTAAGCTCTTCAAAAATTAAAGAGCCAATGTGCTCTAGCTTTGTCTTAAATTATCGTAATCATTTTGAGACCCTTGAACTATTTGTAACTTGCACAAAATTTTTAACTCCTTTTTATCATGTGCTGTTGTAAAACTTTTCTGTGTTGGTTTTGGAGAACTGAGACCTACTGCAGGAAGAAAAAATGGAAACACAAATAAATAGGCTACAGAGCCCAAATGGGACAAATACATCCCAAGAAACAATGCCATTATTAATTCATAATTCAGTTTTTGATTCAGGCCTTCTGAGTTCCTATGAAATTAATGAAAGTCCTGATTGAAAACCCTGTTCAAAACAAGAAAAGTTCAGTCCATTTTTTGCAACATTGTGAGCAGTCATCAATCTATTCTGTGACTGGAATTTTTGCAGAGGGTAGCCATGTTGGCCTGTTAAAACAAAAGCAAGAGATTATAGCATTAAAAAATGCCATAATAACATGTGTTAGACTTATGGTGCAGATTCTTTTTTCTCAGTCTAAAAATCCTGTATATATCTATCTATCTATAAAATAAATACTGAATGTGTTGTAAGGCTGAGCCATGAATAAAATTAAGAAAGAAAAGGCTGGGGAGAGCCAAACAGATTTTTTAAAAGGTGGGTCTGCCAGGAAGTCTTTAGCGTGTTCAAGAGGGTGAGACTCATGCATGGTCCAGCAAGCAGTACTTTTTTTCAACTGCTTCACCTGTTATTATTACCTCCTTTGAATTCAGGCACCTGAATTCAAAGTGGAAAGGGAAACATGGTGTACTTTTGCTACAGTTGACAGTTGATCATGAGTCCTTGTTTAAGAGCAAAAAAGTTATGTGGGAATCTTCTAAAGCTTCTTCCAGAAACAAAACAACTTGCCAGCTTCCTGAGCTCCTTTGGTTGTACTCTTTTCCAACAATGAAAATAGAATTTAAAAGTTTTTTCTTTTGACTGTTGGTACCCCAGAAAACAGCATTAGTTGCACCCTGCCATTTAGTTTGGAGAGACAAAATATTGGCCTGTTAATTGCATCACCCTTCTGTCTCAGGAATTAAAGATACTTCCCCATATACAATTTAAGACACTTGGAATCTGTTCCTTTCCTGATAATTCATTCAGAATTTAATTTAGTTCAGTAAATTAAGTTACCAGTTAACCACATGCAAGCTAGAATCAGTTGTGAAGGTATCATAAACATATAGTGACAGTACTTCGTATTGTCAAGGGGAATATAGAAATATACATGCAGACCTCAGGGGTAAAGCTAACTTTGAATAACAGAAAATTTCTAGTAAGCACGGCAGCATGAATTTTCATATGAAAAAGTGTAGCAGACTTAAATCTCCAATTAACTCTCAAGTGACTTCTTACTTAAATTGTACATACTAAGGAGACTGTTGTTTAGGGTAGTTTTAGTCATAGAATGGTAGGGTGGGAGAGTAGAATGCACTGTGTGCATTTGAAAACTCAAAATATGTAGTAGCTCTAAGTCTGTATTAATCCCCCTACCATTTAGCTTCATGCCTTTTCTCTGTTATTATTCAAGGTATCTTATTCTATCTTGCTCAGCATTCTGAAGGTCTGTGTGACTGTTGTTAATACCTGGTTTTTTAGTATTATTACATTTCTATACAGAAATACGCCTTGAGTTTGTGGCTTTAAGTTAGCAGAAAATTATGATAATTTCTGTAGGCAATCAAGCCAATGTTGCTCTCCTATCTCCCTTTTAGAATCTTGCACAAATCTATAGGCCAAGACGTCAAAACACAGTGTTGATTTATTTTAACTATTTCACTTCTTCCTGTATTATTGTGTTACTTTGGCTTGGGAATAAGATCAGGTATTTGAATAATAGATCTTAAGAATATGCTCATTAAAAGGCTGCTTAGTGCAAAAATGAAAGGTAATAGCATGCTATGGGGAAAAAAATAGTGGACTTATCTGTGATACTTTCTGCTCTCAGTGCTGCAGCAAGAAGTATTTGTTCAATTTGATGTGCTATCAAAATTGGGTGCTTACTGAATAGACACACAAAATTTTATTCTTCTGCATGTCTAAATGATGGCTGGCACAATCCATGTCTGCCTGCTCTTTGCTTTTCCTACTTTTAGCAAGGAGTTAGCAAAAATCCAATGGATGTTTCTTCAGAATATACACTCTCATGTACCTATGCTCTTCACAAATTCTGTTACACTCCTTTGTCATACTCTGTTTTACTTCCACAGCTTTTGCCATTAGGTTAGTCATTATTCAGTTACTTTTCCTTCTTGATTTTTGTCCTCTGCTTTTAAAAAACATATTTCTGACACAAGAAAAGTAACTAAATTAAATTTCTAGCATATTTTTGGTTGCACTAATATGTCTTTTACATGGGAAAAAAGTTTGGCTGGGTTGTATTGTTGACTTGTCTGATTTAATTTGTACAGAATCTGCTGTATATTTTTAGCTGTATGTGTTTTGTGAGGATCAGACCTGTGGATGTTTATCTATTTGTTTTGTGGAACAAAGTGGCACTTTCAATAAAGTCTGGTGCAGCAAAGCAAACTGAAGTAGTATTAGGTTATTGTGCCATAATCCTGTGGCCCCTTTTTTCAGTGAGAACATTTGAGCATTGCTAAGAAGAGGAAGGAGGACTGTGTTCTGAAGCTAATCTACTGCTGGTTTTAAATTAACCTTTCCTGTCAAATAAAGCAGACTCCTGAAATTCTCTCTTTCAAGACCCAGCTTTGACCTCCTAAGCAAAAGAAGAAAAGCTTTTTTAAGCTGTATCATGAAAGTCTCAGGAAGGTTGCTCAACATTTATTATTGGAAATGCTGGTGTACTTTCATCGGATATGCTTTCCATGTACATGAATCTTTAAAAAGCCATGTACATGTGCTAGAAGTCTTCACTGGGCTTATGTTTGCTAACAATGTTTGCAAAAAAACTTGCTAAATTGCCATAAGATAAATTTGAGCCTAGCTGTTCTTCACATATGAGTGGACGTAATTGAGTTTAGATCAGTTCTTTCATATTGAATGAATAGAAACAGCCTAATCATCTTTCAGGTAGAGATTTTCAAGTTACTGCTAAAGGGCCCAACTGGAATGGTATCCTCTAGAATAGAAAAACTCTTACAAATTTTCTTACTGAAGATTTCTGTTCCATTGACAATGTTTCATTTTTTAATGAAACTTTTTAAACCTTTGTTAATGTGAAACGAAGGTTACTCCGCTGTCTTTATCTGAATAATAATAAGAGAGATGCACCTCTTTAATAACACATTGGGTGGATCCTGAGGTACCCCTATATGAACAGAAAAGGTCGAAAGATTTTGACCATCCCATAAGTTAGCTTTCCATTGGCCATGCTTAGATGAGGTTGATTGGGCCTATAGTCTAACAGAATTCCTCTCATGCAACTTTGGGTTGTGGTTTGCTGCACTGAAACTTTAGAACATGCTGTTGTTTAAAAGACATCAAATGTATGCACTTCATAGTAGATAATACATACGATGGGGAGGGTTCATGAACTCATCAGTAGGAACTCATTATTTACCATTATTCAGACTTCTATTTTCATAAAGGCTTGAAGCTAAACTAATCCCGGGGAAGGGTCTTCTTGTCTGGACAGCATAGTCTTTGAATTACAATTGTCTATGATTTTTTTAATGTTACTTCTAGAAATAAGTTTTTGTTTCATTTCTGTGACAATCTTTGTGACTTTGAGTGTTGTGTATAGTAGTGGGGTTTTCTGTTTTTTGTTTTTGGTGATAGGGTTAGTGTTACGAAGGAAGGACCAAACGCTCCAAGTTATACAATACAAGGCTAAATAGAAGAATCTGAGTTTCATAGTTTCCATACATACATAATTGTTGCTTTTTCAGTTATTTATTATTGTTTTTAAAACTGCCTTTTCTTACATTCTGTTGTAAATAAACTACAAGCAATCTTCTTTCCAAGACTGCCTTGCTTTATTTCTGAACTCATGCAATAATAAAATGCAGATCTAGCCATATTTAAGATTTTTCTTCAGCTCTAATCCATGGGATCAAACTAGGTAGGATAATACCAAATGAACTGAACATGATAGAACACACTGTGGTGGGGGAAGGGTGAGCCTCTGAATGATGGATAAGAAGATAGTAGGGTTTCCAGTGGAAGAGCCATGATGGTCTTTTGCTGTTTTTGAATACCTCAAAGTCCAACAAATGCACAAACTTTCATCAAAGGTTTATTGGAATGAGTAGCATATCAATGTATAAATAAATAGCTTCATCAGATGCATGCATCTGATTAAATGAATTGCAGTCAGTTCACTAATAGGCTTTTAAGGTATAACAAGACACGTTTCGTTTGTGTGAACAAAAGTTTCAAGGTAGTGCTGGTTGGTGTTGGACTAGGCCCAGAGAGACCCAGGCTGAAGTTAATTCTCAACCATGGAAGCTCCCTGGGAGAATTTGGTCAGTTGCGCGCAAGCCAACCTACCTCACAGCATTGTTGGTTGTGGAGAAAAATTGGAGAGGGAAATGCCACATATGACTCCTCCACCCCTCCCCTCCCCTCCCTCCTTCCTTATAAAACATTGAGAAATGTAGAATTTATTCATTTGTAAAACAAATGAAGAAAGTAATTCCCATGTTATTATGGTTACATAATAGCTAGCAGTTGTCAAGAAGTTGTCACATTGTGAGTGCAAGATCTAGGCAATTGGAAGGCTTCCTATAATGTTCTGTATGTATAATTAATGGGATTCGGAGATGAAGACATTGGGTTAATTCTGCAGTCAGTTAAGGCTAAGTCATAAAGATTTATGTAGGATGGTTTGCTTCAGTTTACTTACCCCATATGGTCACTGGTCATTTGTAATGTAAATCAAAGGAGTGAGAATGATTCATAAGTTTAGATAAGTTGAATGTATAAAAAACTATCTTACGCTAAGTAAGACCTTTGATCCCTCTGTTACTGAGTAGTCCAGGAATAAGGACCTTTTCACTACAAGCTTTTTAGTTTTTTAATTTGAGATGCAAAGGCCTGAACTTGGAATTTTCTGCATAGAAGGAATGTGCTGGGTCACTGCACTCTGATGTTTTTGTCAGGAAATCCTTTTATGTGGTTTATAATTTACAGCTTCTTCCCTCCAGTTCCTTTTTTGTATAAAATACACTGTTTACATAAAGGTTTGTGCTACCCTGTTCATGCTGACTGGAGCTGATGGAATGAAGGCTGTTGGAGGTCACTTTATTACCATCGGTGTCTCTATTGCCTTACCACTCTAGTAACATTAATAGACTAACCTTTTGGACTGTGGTGCATAATAATTAAAACCACAATACATTAAAAACAAAGCAATCTCAGTTTAAAAAACAGCTAGTCAATTTAAAATAGTAGTAACAGGAATCAGCACAAATAGAAGAAGTCCAGAGGAAACCACTCATCAAAATCTAACATGACTATCATAAAAAACTCATATGTAAATTAAAAAAGAAAGGAGCCATGCAGGAGGTCCTATTCCAAGTCCTATAACTTTACATCTAGAACCTTCAGGGAGAATGGAGCTTCATCCAGAACATGCTGGATCTATTTGGATCAGTATTCCTGTTGTTCAAATACATCTCTGTTTAAACTTGTGACAAAACTAGACATGACAAAACTAGATATTTACTTCCCCATTCAAATAAACAGAGGAGACTGTATACATTTTACATTGAAAGCTGATTCCATATGACAGGGACTGCACTTTCTCCTTTCCTCTGCCTTAATTTCCTTTGTGTCATCTGTTCAGACTTTTTTGATCCATCCAGGTTCCAAGATGCTGAGATTAGTAGGAAAAGAATTTACAGAAGAGTACTGAAGATGTTTCATGTTGTCTGTAAGGCAGATTATTTCTGAAATGTGTAGATTTCTTTGATATCAAAGAAAGTTTAAGTGCCAACGAAAATCAGCAATGGTGGATGTACATTCTGGTAAATTATATAATATAAATGTATATTCTGATAAAGATGGCAATAATTGTGAATGTTTTCATCACAGGGGCACTCTCCTGAACAGAAAAAAAGTAAAATTTGTGATCCACAAGTTAAAGCTAGAACACTTATTTGAGATACCTTAAAGCAAGAATTTTGAACAAATCAATTACAGTAGTGGGTCTGTTTGACACACAATAACAGCAGTTGCCACAAAGTTGCAATCCAATATTCAACCAAACTGTGTGTTATATCTGAAAGAAAAAGGCTCACTCTGTACCTAAACAATTATTGTAACAGTTTTATTTTTAATATCCAAACACTTTATGATGATACTATAAGTCTGTTCTGAATCCAACTAAAATAAGGGGTTTGTAATAATAATATTTTTTAATAAAAATTCTTACGTTTTATCTGGTAAAGAGGCAGTAAGTTTAACTTGAAAATAATTCAGAAAAGATATGGCTTTGTATGGGCTGATCATTTCTGAAGATTTTTCTTTTATCAAATGCTGTAGAACTCATCCACATTTAAACGGAACCTCTTTGGCATGATTAACCATCCATATGGCAGTTTGAATAGCTGTGAGGAAAGTTGTTAATTCACATGGGGGATATACATAATAGATGCCATCCCCAATTCTAAGACTGTAGTCCTGAACACAACAACCTGGAAATAGGGAAGGGCAGTCCCATCATGTGGAAAATTGAAGCTGCCATCTTGGGTGGCAGATTTGGGGGATGACTGAAAGGCAAAAAAGTCACTTTTTTATTTCTCTTTAGGCCCTTCCTTGCTACCAAGCTGAAGTGCTATGTATCTGTCCTTGGGGTGACAGAAAACTAGGCCCGAAGGCATTTGTTCTCCCTGCGGCTGATATCTGTCCTGCCACTGTTTCCTCTGCTCCCAGTTACTGCCAATCACTGGACTTCCTACACAACTTGAGGCTATCATTGTACAGTGTTAGAATAAGGTGAAAAATACTACTTTGATACTGGTACCTGTAAGATGTAAGACCATCTTATTTATTTGATTGATTGATTGATTGATTGATTGATTGATTTCTATAGCCACCCATCTCAACAAGTGAATCTTATTCATTGGCTGGGGATATAATGAGATCATGGGAACAAGGGGGAAAACAAATGTTTTCAAGGCACGAAAGTGTTGTGGTTAGGTGCAACTGGGGACACGGCTGAGATAAAAACAGTACTTCCAATTAGTAATATGCATATTGTCTAAAATGAAAATATTTCTTTTACTACTTCACCCTGACTTCAGATTAACAGCTTTTGGCATATACTCTTCCTTTCACTGATCCTTAGATTCTGAAAATGACTATCTTATTTATTTGTTATGTTTCCTCTTCAGCCTTTCTGTTACTACTGCTGCTGAAAGAGCTGCACAACAATATCCAGTCTTAACAATAAATAACAATAATCCATGAAATAACATTATTAAAAATAACCCCAGCAGGTAAAAACAGTCTCAGTTGCAATTTATATGTCAATCACCACATTAATTACCTGGAACTGGATTTGAGCTGAGGCTTAACCTAACCCTGGTTCCAGTGCCAAGGCTCGGCAAGTACTGTATGTAACATACGATGTAGTAACCACTGTGATTTTTTACATGCAAACAGGCAAATGCACACAAGATGAAATAAAATCATGGATGAATGTGTGTGTGTGCGCATACGAGCAAATTACTTCCTACAGTTTTCTTGGCAGGGTTTTTCAGAGGTGGTTTGCTGCTGGCTCCTTCCTGGGGCTGAGAAGGTCCCCCAGCTGGCTTTGTGCCTAAGGCAGGACTAGAACTCTCAGTCTCCCGGTTTCTAGCCTGATGCCTTTAATCACTACGCCAAACTGGCTCTCGATATCAAACTAGTGTCCATTAATTCTTTTGCACAAAGTTTGCTGTTTGCCCTACAGTGAATCCAGAAGTGCATTACTGGCAAACAATGGTATATAGACGATGACGCCCCTCTGAATTCTATGTAAGACAACATGGCCCTGATTCTGTGCCTTTATTTATTCTATTTCTCCCACCTACGACTGAAGATTAGTGCTAATCCTGGCAATTGCCACTATTTGTATTATTTTTATATTAATATTCTATTATTTTATTCTACTTTATGCCTCCTTTTTACTTATATCTATAATTTTAGGCATATGTCTTTCTATGTAGTGTTTTCTGTCCTAAAGGCTGTAAAGGTTTGTTGTTGTTAGGATCCTATAATATCAGACTGATTCACAAATTGTCAGGATTTATTTTATCTACATTGTACATAGCATCATAGCAAAAAATGTAACAAATTAACAATAGCAATACATACCAAACCAAACCACCAAAACACCCAATAGCTACAATAAACTGCTGTGCTATAAACCAAGATAACCAACTTCCATCACCAGCTTCAGACACTGGGAATGACATACACACCGCTTTGCACATCACACCAATGTCAGTGGTGTGCAAACCAGCCCGGTTCCGTGTTTCAGAGAAACGTAAAAAACTGGGTTACGTGAATAAGTAGGTCAACGTGTCGCTCAAATACAGCTCAGACTACGTCCAGCCAGCCTGGGCTTTCTCCGCCGCAGGTTCAGGCTCCTCAGACCTTATTCCGCGAGGCGACGCCCAACTAACTCGCCCATTTACTCTCCGCCTGCGTCGCTTTTTCTTCCCAACAGGGAGCGCTGCAGGCTCCCGCGCCACCGACGGCAACTGCGCTTGGGTGCCGCTGAAGCCTGGAGCGGGAGGGAGGGGAGGGGTTGTAACGCAGGCGCGTTGCATTCTTCCCTCTCGCGAGACTGACAAGCAGGTTCTCGCGCGCTTTGCAAGATGGCGGTATTCCGAGAGAGGTTCACGTTGTGCAGCTTGCCAGGGACTCCCCCTCGGGCACCGCTGGGGTTGGAGGCGGACGCGGACCGGGTGCTGCTCACGGACCGGGGTCGGACGGTGACGCTGTATAAGGTAAAGGCAGCCCGCTGGCA